TCAAAATAATTATTAATATATAAAATTGCCCTTTTTTTTACTTATTTACTATTTCTTAATTTTTCAGTATTTTCGACGAGAAAAGTTCATATGACTTGTTATAACGCTAGGGGAAGTTTCTATTAGTTTAATTTTTATTGTAGTCTAATTTCATTTATTTTTGTTATCAATTTCTCTTGTGGTATAGATATATGTTTCTGAATATATTTTTTCAAAATTTTTAAACTTCTCAAGAGTTAGAGAATTATCATGATTTGTTATTTTGATGCTTAAGACAAAAGAATGACTTTATTTATCAATGCTACTTATGTGATTTATATTCTCAGGAAGTTTGATTAAAAATTGTTATTACTATGTAAATATTTCCCTTTAGTTTTACTAATCTACTATTTCTTTATATTTTAGTATTTTCGACGAAGAAAAGTTCATATTTCAGTATTTATATATGTCACAAATGTATTATCAAGTTTACAAGATCTTCTAACTTCAAAATATATTATTTTAAAATTTTCCAATTTTTTTTCTTTTAATAAAACTCACAAAAATGTGAAAATATATGAATATATATGAATCATTTAAAAGTTATATGACATCTCCACATGTTCATATGACATCTAAACAGATTAAGTTGAATACACGTGCAAAGCACCTCTGGTTAGATAACAAGGAAAACATACGACAAATATCGTCTATAAGGTAATTAATATTAGTGAGATACGATTAATTACATGATTCAACCTCATCAAATTGAAATAAATATGTACATTATTTCATTGACCATCTTTATAGGTTCGTGTGAATAAGAGATATATATGACGATCCACATTGAAAATTCACAAAAAAATCTGCAATATTTTTTTTTGCAAAGCTTATTATTCAAATCTTTGCTTAAATTTTCTGAATTGATAATCACGTGCGTTGCACGTGTAAAAAATCTAGTGTGTGTGTGTATATATATATATATATATATACATGAGAATAGTTTGCTATATGGTAAATCCAAGTGGTAAGCAATTGAAAAGCCACTTGGCAATTTTAAGTTAATAAATATTTTGATAAAAAGATTTAATTAAATCATTAAAAGTAATAGAATTAGAAAATACATTAGACTTTTAAAAATAATTTTTTTTTCATTATCTTTAAAATAGAAACTCACATGTGGAAGAGATCTAAATTAACTTTTAAAGTTTCATAAACTTATCATTTTCACATGTTATAAAATAAATTTGAATACATTCAATTTAATATCAAACTAAAAATAAAAATATAATAATAATAGTAATATTAATGGTCACGACCCAAAAATGGATGTGACGACACTCCTCTTATCCCACCAAGACAAGTCAGCCTAAAACCCATATATCACAAAAATGCGGAAGTAAGACAGATTGAAATATCCAAATATCGTAAGTGCGGATAACTAAGTCAACTTAATAAAACCATTAAAACCTGGTCACGTGTACAAGCTTCTAAAGTTTTACAATTGAATCAAAAGAAAGTTACAAGTCTCATATGACATTGTTTCTAGAATAGAACAAGATCATAAATATGAGTAAGAAGGTCTGCTGAGATGACAAACAACTACCTCACAAATCTCCACAAGAATCCTTGGAAAAGAAGATAATTGAAAGTATAACGAAGATCGGGGATCGTAACCTTCAAAAATGTAGAAGCAGGGGGTGAGTACCAAACCACACGGTACTCAACAAGAAAACTTATAAACACAAGCTAAGGGAATAGAATACAGGTACTCCTTACACCTTAACCGAACCTCCACAACTACAACCTGTATAAAAACTAGTCCAACCTAATAGTTCACAATTTACATAGCCCACAGCTCAGCAACAACAATCTAACAATTACATATTCTCAACAACAGTCTTACTACTCATCAATCACAAGTTCCACAAAAAGGCACTGTTGCGTCCAAATCGCACACGCAAGTGCACGTGGTCGTTCAAGTATTAAAGTGGCTCTTATAAAGAGCCGAGTATCGTACCCATAGGGACTAATGCTTAGAATCACACAATTTCTCTAACTTTTAGCTAATCACAAGTGTTACCAAGAGTTCGAAAGTGATTTAGTTTCTAATTCTAGAGTTGTCACAAAATGCAATAAAAGCGATTCAATTTCAAGGGTTTAAAAACAATGATTGGGTGAAGTCCAAGGATGCAGCTTCTATCAGGATTCATGCAATCAATATCATTTATATGGGTATTTATCAACTATCGAATCAATGAATCACAGGGTTAAATGTATGATCATGGTTTACCGACCTCTAATCGCCTATGATAAATAACACCCTAACTACATCATTAAGCGGGGATAGGATGGATTAAGTACTGAGCATTAATATTTCTTCCTGTATAGTGACCCAAGCAAGGTTTCTAGGTATATCCCTATCCTAGGTACAAATTAACCCTAGTTCTTTAGAATTAATCATGCTCCTTATGTCCCATGTTCTATCCTCTTATTTCTCTCCCGAGTTCAATTTGGACAATGTATTTATTTCAATGGTGATCAGTCACAAAATACGAAAAATAAGAACATAAGAAAGATTCATATGATAATTGACATTAACCCAATGAAAACTTAATAGATTACAATAATCATGTAGCCACAGCCCTAGAACTAGGGTATTTAGCTACTCATAATCCAAGATACGATCAAGCAATGTTCAATAAACATAAGGAGATCGAAAGGAAAATAGTTTAAGAAAGAATCCTAAAAATGGTGAAAACGTTCTCCCAAGTCGTTCTTCAAAACCCAGCAAAAGAATATTTAATAAAATAAATAATGACTTATTTATACTAAAGTCGAAACAACAAAAACTGGGGCTCAGGAGCACGACAGGGAAGCCTCTTTAAATTTCCATTTGCACATAATTTCACTTCTCCGCGATGCGGGAACTCTACAGAATGCTCTGCCAGAAAGTCGCTTCTCGCTAATTAATTTTTTAACCCTCTCCGCGATGCGGAGACACATCTATAATTCGATGTGCGAGTAAATGCACCACTCCGCGACGCGGCTACTACACGGAGGGCTCTGCCTCAATTCACCATTTCACGATCCAAAATAGAATTCCTCTCCGCGACGCGGAGAGGATACGGAGATGACTTTGAATGGCATTTCTTCAATCTTCTTCCTTACTTCTTTTCTACTCGGATCTTTTGTGTTCCCCATTGTCCATTTTCGAGCTCGTTTCTCCAATTAAGCTCACCTACACAACTAATCATGTTGGTTAGCTCATAAACACACAAAAGACTCAATAAAACTATAAAAAGAGCACATATTGAATTCAAACTCAGCTTAAATGTGGGGCATTGTTAGATTTCTAGACATATAAATATGTCTAAGATCACTACCCCACACTTAGAGCTTTGTTCGTGCTCAAACAACTTACTAACTACTCCTAAACCTAGACTCACTACTATGGTATTTGTGCATCTGTTGTTTTCTTCCAAGGATCTGTAACCAGTTAACACAGGCATGATTTTATTCAAAGTATGCATGACTCCTGTAATTGACTTGACAACTTTTAGCAACCAACGCATTCAACAACATGTACACCATTACATATCACATATCCTTCATACAACAAGTGCCCCTCACTCCAAAGAATAGTCCACAAACTCAACTCAGCAAGCTGAATATATTTTAAGGACTTTGCAACCAAGGTACAGTCTCACTCAACAGAAACATCAAACATGTATGCATTGAGAACCATAGGCTTGCCCATTATGTACATCTTTACTAATAAAGTGTGTTATGCTCAAAATCAAACAGAACTTGTTCTGGTTGTAATATAGGCTTAAGGTAAGGGAGGATTCGTTTAGATAAAATTAGTGACTTATCCTCCTTAATGCACCATATTCAACTTTCCTCTTACATTCACAAATTTTTCTTTTTGTTAGCCCCCTCCTTCTTCATAGGTTTCCACTAGTGTTACCAACCTTGCCTTTATTTCTTACTTGCCCCTTTATTTCTACTCTTTTTTTTAGACACTCAACAATAGCCACCCTATTTTTGTTAGGGTCAGGGTCATCATTAAGGTATTTACTAAGTTAGCCACCTTCAACTTGGGTTTCTCCTAGTCGAAGTGCACAATATCCTAAGGACCAGGGCCAATCTCAGATTCACACTCATGGGGTATCATTTTACCTCCTCTTTCCACTCTTCCCCAACAACTAAACATTTCCACCCTGTTTACTCTTTCCGTTGTTTTCACTTTTCCTCCTAACATGTCATAGGAATCTTCTAACTCCTTTCACTGTGATGGGGGGTGGCAACTTCTCAATAACTTCCACCTTAGCTTTGTCAACTTCCAGCCCATTCTTGGAGATCTTGGGCCCCAACACAATTCCCTCTCAAACCAGGAAGTGACACTTCTCCTAGTTTAGCACCAGATTGGTTTCTTCACACCTAGCAAGAACTCTGTCAAGATTAGTCAAACAAAGTTCAAAAGACTCACCAAACATGGAGAAGTCGTCCATGAATACTTCAACAAAATCCTCCACAATATCATGGAAGATTGCCATCATACATCTCTGAAATGTGGTTGGGGCATTGCACAAGCCGAATGGCATGCGCTTGAACGCATACGTGCCATACGGGCAAGTGAATGTAGTCTTCTCCTGATCCTCTGGTGCAATGACAATCTGATTGTACCCTGAGTAGCCATAAAAAAAAAAACAGTAGTATTCCTGACCTACCAGCCTATCTAACATTTGATCAATGAAAGGTACCGGATAATGCTCTTTTTTGGTGGTGTCATTCAACTTTCTGTAGTCCATGCATATCCACCACCCAGTCACTGTCCTTGTGGGGATTAACTCATTCTTCTCATTAGTCACCACCGTCATTCCTTTATTCTTGGGCAAACACTGTACTGGACTTACCCATTTGTTGTCTAATATTGGGTACACAATTCCTGCATCCAACCACCTGGTCACCTCTTTTCTCACCTCATCCTTCATCAATGGGTTTAGTCTCCGCTGATGTTATGCACTCGGCTTATGCCCTTCCTCCATGTAAATTTTATGCATACACAGAGCGGGACTAATTCCATCGATTTCGGACATTTGCCACCCCAAAGCTGCTTTCCTCTTCTTCAAGATGATTAATGATGCTTCCACCTGTGCATTAGACAATGCTGCAGACAAAATAATTGGTAAATTTTTATTTTCACCCAAAAATGCATACCTCAGGTGGATTGGCAATGCTTTTAACTCCATCTTGGGTGCTTCTTCAATGGAGGGCTTAGGTGGAGAACCCAACACCCTATTTAGAGGCTCCCATCGATCTTCAGATGTACCTACAAGTGCCACATCAAGAAATTGCACAATTTCATGTGCCTCAGCATCCCCATAAATATCGTCCCCTACTAACACTCGCTCTAATGGGTCCTTTGATGCAATATAGCGAGCCTCTGCCTCAAGATCTATCACAATAATGGCAGACAACTCCTCATACACCACTGGCAGATTTAATGCTTTATACATGTCGAAAACCTCCACTTTATCATGTGCTCGCATAGTAAGTTGCCTAGCTGCTACATCTATCATAGCCCTCCCAGTGGCTAAGAACAGTCTTCCTAAGATGAACGGGACCTCAAGATCTGGCTCAAAATTCAGCACAACAAAATCTACTGGGAAAATCAACGATCCCACTTGCACTAGAACATCCTCTACAACACCCTCAGACCTAGCTACAGACCTATCAACCAACTGTAAGATAATAATAGTAGGTTTAGGACTACCCAACCTCAGCTTTTTGTACAAAGAAGTCGGCATCAAATTTGTGCTAGCTCCTAGATCACACATTCCTCGCGCATGAATGCTCTGCCCTATAGTGATCTGAACCGTAAAGCTACCCAGATCTTTCAGTTTAGTGGGCAACTTATTTTGGATTCTGGAGCTGCACTCTTCAGTAAGTGCAACAGTCTCATATTCTGTTAGCCTCATTTTATTCGCAACAATCTACTTCACATATTTTGCATATCTGGGTATACCCTGCAAATCATCTACCAATGGCAAGTTAATGTGAACTTGTTTACAAAAAAGAGAGTAAACTTACCAAAACATTCATCCTCCTTCTATTTCTTAAACTTTTGAGGAAATGGAGGAGGTGGTTTCACTATTGGTTGCACTCTTTCTTCTTGTGCAACAACTTCGCCCTCCTTGGGTTCGCTTTCTTTATTCGCAGTTTCACTGTTCCTTTTCTTAGGAGCTAACTCCTCTAATTGCAAACCACTACGAGTACCTACCGTTTTTACCTGCTTGGGATTTGGATCAGTATTTCTCGGTAAACCTCCTTGCGGTTGTGAGTTTTGGGCATTAGCAAACTGCCCGAATTGCTTCTCCAGATTTTATGTAGCCAATTGGTTATTTCTCACATCAGCAGCTAACTGGGCTTGATTAGCCATGATATTTTTCAGCATCTGTTCTATGCTCATGTTACCAGATTGCTTATTTGGCTGCTCCCGTTGGGCCTGTGGTTGGTACCTCTATGCATTTCCTTGGGGTCTATAGTGATTCTAGCCTTGACCCTGATTTTGATTTCCACCCCAAGAAAAGTTTGGGTGGTTGCGCCAACTTGGGTTATAAGAGTTCCCATAATATGCTGGCCTCCTCCTTGTGGTGCATTTCCTACAAAGTTGACAGAATCCAGGTTTGCACCACATATCTTTGCGCTATGGTCACCACCTCCGCAGATCTCACACCAAGATGGTGGTTGTTGAACTGCATTTACCTGCGCGGGCTATTGTCCCAATGCTAGATAGTTGAAGTGGGTGGTCATCATATTCTACATAGCAGCCATCTGTGCAATTAAGGCATCTACCACTAGCATACCTGCAGTTTTCTGAATCACCGGTTTCACCCCTCCTCCATTCCATTCGGGGTTTCCCTGCGATATCTTGTTCAGCAAGGTGAATAGTTCTGCATATGTCTTCACCAAAGCCTGACCATCTGCAGCTGAATCAAGTAGAATTTTGGTGTTAGGCTCCAATCCTTCAATGAAGGTATTGACCAACACCTCATTAGATTGATGATGATGTGGGTACCTCATCAACATCGATTTAAACCTATTCCAAGCTTGGTACAAGTTCTCCCCCCCCCTTTCTGTCTAAAACTTAAGATGTCACTCCTCAACTTAGTTGTTTTCCCAAAATCTAATGAGAAACTTCTATGCTAGATCATTCCAGGAGGTTATAGAGTTAGCGGTCTTAGAGTTCAACCATCTTTTTGCTTCCCCAAGCAGAGAAAAGGGGAATAAAGTGAGCCTCACATAATCCACATTCACTCCAGCTGGAGTATAAGTATCACTAATCTCGAGGAAATTCTAAATGTGAACTGTTGGATCCTCGTGCGACAGACCAGTGAACTACCCATTGGTGTGTAATAGTTGCACCATACTCTGCTTCAATTCAAATCTTCCACCACCTTCAGGTTTCTGAATGCATGATGTCACATTGGTGGGACGTAGGATTGCCACGTCTCTTACCTTCATCTCATCCATTATTGTTTCAGGTTCCTCTTGCTCAACTCTTTCTACTGGAGATGTTGGTTCACTAGCAACAAGACGGACCGGATAAGTAATTCGTTTTTGCCTTCTCTGGTAGTGAACAAAACTTTTCGGTTCAGCTAGAGGCGATATTAATCCTTGATCGTCGTCCAGTTTGAAGTTCTAATACAACCTGCAACAATGAAATACTAAGATCAAGTTGCCAACACTTGCTTTTTAACTTCAGAAATCAGAAAAATCAGATAATTTCTAATTCTAAAGTCCCCGGCAGTGGCGCCAAAAACTTTGTTGCGTCCAAATCGCACACGCAAGTGCACGTGGTCGTTCAAGTATTAAAGTGGCTCTTATAAAGAGCGGGGTATCGTACCCACAGGGACTTATGCTTAGAATCACACAATTTCTCTAACTTTCAGCTAATCACAAGTGTTACCAAGATTTCAAAAGTGATTTAGTTTCTAATTCTAGAGTTGTACCAAAATGCAATAAAAGCGATTCAATTTCAAGAGTTTAAAAACAATGATTGGGTAAAGTCCAGGGCTACAGCCTCTATCAGGATTCATGCAATCAATATCATTTATATGGGTATTTATCAACTATCGAATCAATGAATAACAAGGTTAAATGTATGATCATAGTCTCCCAATCTCTAATCACCTACAATAAATAACACCCTAACTACATCGTTGACCAGGGATAGGATGGATTAAGTACCAAGCATTAAGATTTCTTCATGTACAGTGACCTAAGCAAGGTTTCTAGGTATATCCCTATCCTAGATACAAATTAACCCTAGTTGTTTAGAATTAATCATGCTCCTTATGTCCCATGTTCTATCCTCTTATTCCTCTCCCGAGTTCAATTTGGACAATGTATTTATTTCAGTGGTGATCAGTCATGAAATACGAAAAACAAGAACATAAGAAAGATTCAAATGATAATTGACATTAACCCAATGAAAACTTAATAGATTACAATCATCTTGTAGCCACAACTCTAGAACTAGGGTATTAAGCTACTCATAATCCAAGATACGATATAGAAATGTTCAATAAACATAAAGAGATAGAAAGGAAAAGAGTTAAAGAAAGAACCCTAAAATGGTGAAAATGTTCTCCCAAGTCGCCGTTCTTCAAAACCCAGAAAAAGAATATTTAATAAAATAAAATAATGACCTACTTATACTAAAAGTTGAAACAGCCAAAACTGGGGCTCAGGAGCGCGACGCGGAGGCCTCTTCAAATTTCCATTTGCACATAATTTCACTTTTCCGCGACGCGGGAACTCTACGGAATGCTCTGCCTCGAAGTCGCTTCTCGCTAATTAATTTTTTAACCCTCTCCACGGCGCAGAGACACATCTATAATTCAATGTGCGAGAAAATGCACCCCTCCACGACGCGGCTGCTACATGGAAGGCTCTGCCTCAATTCACCATTTCACGAGCCAAAATAGAATTCCTCTCCATGATGCGGAGAGGATACGTTGATGCCTTTGAATGGCATTTCTTCAATCTTCTTCCTTGCTTCCTTTTAACTCAGATCTTTTGTGTTCCCCATTATCCATTTTCGAGCTCGTTTCTCCAATTAAGCTCACCTACACAACTAATCATGTTGGTTAGCTCATAAACACACAAAAGACTCAATAAAACTATAAAAGAGCACATATTTAATTCAAACTCAGCTTAAAAGCGGGCATTATTAGATTTCTAGGCATATAAATATGCCTAAGATTAGGCACTCACAAGATCAGCAACACACAAGATCAAGTTCACCAATGATAAAGATGTGCAAGGCAATGTAATGCAATGTCAAGTATATAGTGATGCATGTCTGACCTAATGATACACACTCGCTGTCTATCAGTCCGGGACCCATGGAGGACATATTTGTAGGATATATTGGCTTTCCGATAGGAGTAGAAATAGAAAAGGGAATAGAAAAGGGTTCTAAGAGTTGTTCAGGGTTGAATCTAAACTTCACAGCAACATAAGGAGTCACAAAAAACAAGGTAGCATTAGGGTCTAACAAATCATTAACATCAAGGGAGAAAACATTTAACATACCGGTAACAACATATGGGAATTTTCCTGATCCTGACGAGAGATAAGGCATATAAGCAATTTCGGCCACCATTCACACTTGAAGTAGTGCCGTTTTGTGCATTTCTTCCTACTAGAGCTGATGATGTAGTGTATTGAATTATGTTACCTCTACTGACCTGCCTCATAGAGGGGAAATCCTTAAGCATATGTCATGCCTGACCACATTTATAATACCCATCCCTACCATAAATATAGTCACTGGGATGATTCCTACCATACTTGTTGCAAACATGGTAAGGTGAGTACTCTTTGGCAACACTATCTTGTGATCGAGAGCCACACTCTTTTCTCCTCTAATCAATTCAAGGTCTAGGTGTTAATGCACTAGCTAAAGATGGAGTTAGCCCAAATGACCTCTTCTGAAAGATTGATCGATACCCATTTCCGTTCCTCTAATGACTGCACTCATGGTGTGATGTTCTAGCTCTCTTATTAAAAATATCTTTCAGATCCTTCAACTTATCCTCCTTAACCTACTGCCATGAATCACTAGCCCGGATATGCCCATAACCCCAATCAACATCATTGTCTTACCCTTCTTTCTTGGAAGATAGGGGAGTCCCGACACAAAAAAGCTCAAGGTTATACTCATGCACGCTCATAGAGTCTTACTTCAAGTTGCAGAACTCTCTGACCTTTGTCTCTAGTAACTCTCGAAAAAGAAGAATCCCATGAGGGCATCTTCAAATGCATCCCAACATAGAGGTGGTGTATTTTCACCCCTAGTCTTCTTCCACTAATCAAACCATATCCTTGAAACATCCTTAAGTTGGTAAATGATTCCATCTCCACACTCTCTACATCACGAACATGCATCACCTGGAAGATCTTCTAAACCTTATCAACAAAATTTGTGGATCCTCATGAAGCTTAAAACCTAGGAACTTAGATGGATTCATCCTAACAAATCTATGAATCCTTGAAGTGTTTGGCACACATTGACGTCCAACCTAAGTTGTAACAACTTGAGTCAAATATGGATGGCTATCGAAACCAAACATTAGTAACATCAGCATTTGGTTCCTGAACAGCAAGTTTGGGACCCCTTGGTCCGATGGTAACTTGTGGCACTTGGGAGTTTTCATCTTTCCAAGTAGAACATCATTTGTTCCTAATATGCGTCATATGATTAATCACTCTTTGTGGAGGCATGAGCTGAAACATGAATAAGCACAAATTAGAAAAGGTGAATATAGTTAAACTATATCGCACGAACAATTTTATGAAAGAAGGAAAATATTTCCTCAACATCCTGTAGCCTCTCCATTATAAGTGTGGTACGCTTCACACCCATAAAAAAGACTCTACTAGATGCAAATTTTTAGACATTCTAGACACT